AACCAACAATATTTTGGTGTATTCTTATTTTTCCTGGTTTTTGTGTTATCATATTCTTTTAATGAGATAATTCAATGAATAGTCAGTGAATTTTACTATACGTTACTACTTGATCATCGATCTCTATACAGTTACTCGTTGCTCAATCAACTTTGCTATATATTACTACTTACTCATCGAAATTTAAAAGGTTACTCGTTGCTCATTTAAATTTGAATAAAGTTACTCATTACTCACTAAACTTTGCAATAGGTGACACTCATGAAAATGATATGAGTGATTAATGTATAACTTTGTTTAAATTTGAATGAGTAATAAGTAATCTTTAAAATTTTGGTGAACAACTGATAATCTACGGCAAAGTTTATCGAGCAAAAAGTAACATTTTAAATTTTGATGAGCGAATAGTAACGTAGAGTAAAATTTAGTGACCATTGATTAAATTAATTCTATTCTAACCCTATGAGCGCATCATTTAGCCTTTGTTTGGGTTACATTTTAGGGAAAAAAAATGTACTTTTTCTTTCTTATTTTTCAACTACACCTTCTTTAATAAAGGCCTTGTTTGAACTCCATTATTTTTTCGTTAAAATGAAAAATATGACTGTTATCTATCACATCAAGTCACCATATTTGACTTTTTATCTTTTATATGGGGTCCATAATGATTAAATTTTTCGTTCTCATTTTTACAATAATATGGCTCAAACGGGGCAAAATCATGTCAATCGTAAGTCTAATTTTTTTTTGTTATAACAACACATTCTCCAAAAAATTATTATTTCAAAATACATTTTTTTATTTTTTTTACAAAATCTATTTTAATGGAGCCCAAACAAAAACTTAATCAATTCCTAAGAGAGAGAGTTGTTGCCAAAGATCAAGAAGATATAGAGTTTGTAAGCTAAAATTCGTTTCTTGTTATTAAGTCCTTGTTTGAGTCACATTATTTCAATAAAAATGTATTTTGAATAGTGTATTGATGAAAAATGTGTGATAGAAAATAATAAAAAGTTTTGAATTTGCATATAATGTTATTTTATTAAAAAATATATGGTTGAAATGATGTCAAATCAATGTTGAAGAATAAATTTTTTAGAAAAAAAGTAGCTCAAACGGGCCTACGAATTAAATAAAACTATTTTTCAAGTCCTTTTCACGTGCGAACATATCCCACTTGATTAGTGTGCCGATAGTACGTGTAAGAATAGCTGCAATCAAAAGTGCTCAGTTGAGTGATGACTGACAGTCGTCAACTCAACTTCACTGTGGGGCCCACCACATTGACCAAATCTTCGGTTCACACTGCTCCTTCCGTCGGATGGCCCACTTTTAATGCTTGGGGAATTCCAAAATTCGCCATAATCGAGCAAAAATTTAGCTAAAATTCAAATTTTAATATAAATCAAAATCAACAATTAAATATTTATTTGAACCCGATTTTATTAAAAAATGTATATTTTTAAAAAATTTATTTTCAACAATATATTTTTCAATAAAATAATTTTATACGTAAATCAAAAAAATATTCTTATTTTTTTAATCACGGATTCTTCACAAAATACTATTTGAAAACACATTTTTTTTCCAAATGGGGCCAAGAGCTAATTTTAATTACATATTTTATGTGATCCACAACTTTTCAACCATACATTTTTATCAAAAATTATCAAAAGTTTGTTAAAAATCCGATTTTAATCCTCTCAAAACATTGGCTTAGTCTATATTTGACTTCATTTTTTTTAACATTTATTTTCAACAATACATTTTAAGAGATTCACAATTTTTACCATATATTTGATCAATAAATATCTACTTTTTAAGTAAATCAAACAAGAGTTTAATTTTCTGTCAACGTGGTAATTCAAGACATAAAATTTATACAATATTTATTTATTTATTGAGATCCACTATTTTTTATTTTTTGTTAGGTTAATTTATTTTTTTGTGCTCTAGTTATGTGAATACTTAATTTCTTGTTTGATTAAGTTTTAAAAACTTAGTTGTATGTAAGATTACTGAATAAGCCATTGTTCTATAAAAGTTAAAATTTTAATTTTAATTAAAGTCAATTATAAATTTTAATCACATATTTTATAGGTTCGTAACTTTTCAACCACACACTTTATCAACTTTTATTAAAATCTACTAAAAATCTTGGTTGCTGTTTAAAATCGAAAAAAGTATTTTCCGAATAAGAGGACCAGTGGCTGATGTCCCACCTTCCTGAGGTGGTCAATTCGGATAGTCAACTTTGCCAAGGACTAAAAATAAGTAATTTTCTATAAATGTTTTCTTAATTTATTTAGCTAAACACGCTGTTAAATCATGTAACATGATGTAGCGCAAATTTTCTTTGTTGACGGAGTTTGCCCATAATTTTTATGTAATGATATTTAATACATTGAAATTATTACTCAATCTATACACATTAATGTGACATTAAATAATAGATATTTTATTTAATTTACTATTTAATGTCTCAAGTGGAACGAAATAGCATTAATTAAGTAACAAAAGTCTTTGCCACGTAAACAGACATGGACTTTGCCGTGTGGCGTCTGCTTCGAAGAGGAAACGTACATAACACGTGCTTTTCGTCCTATGTGGCCCTTAGTTAACGGCGACGTTTAAGCTCGAAAGCCAGCTTAGGCCAAAACACATTAAGAAAAAGCGATTATGGACAAACGGCGTTGGTTGTCCTCCATTTATTTTCATTAAATTATGGGCCACTTTAAATATGTGGCAATGTTTCTTGTGGGGCCCATGCTAACGACCACATGGCTACCGGTTGTGCTTTTGCTCACAAGTGAACAAGAGTGTGTCAGAATCCCGACAGCACGTGTCTTTCACACAATTGGAAAAGTAGCACTAGCAGCCCACTAGCACCAGATTCACACTATGGTTATTTCCTTTCATGACTACCTTCAACAGTTTCAACCTTTTTGATTCGTAGTAAATTACAAAATCTGCATTAATGATGATTGAATTTAATTTATTAATTAATATTCTTGGATTCTCCTCCTCAATTTCCTCAAAATGGGCACCACATTGTAAAATTCCTAAATTTTCCTTATCAATTTTTTCAATGATGGGCACCACAATATTGAAACTAGGCTAGAAAAGACCAAAGGGGTAAAGTCACGTCTTTTTCAAATAAATTAGTTCAATTTGATTTCTAATCACTAATTTAGCATAAAATTGTAAGGTATCATCAATTTCTTATTATGTCTCGAGAGAAATTATTTAGCCCATGTTTGAGCCACATTCTAAGGAAAAAAATGTATTATTCATGTCAAATCAATGAAAATGTGTGGTTAAAAAATAAGGAAAAGTTTTAAATTTACTTGTAATATTATTCTATTGAAGAATGTGTGGTTGAAATGATGTCAAATTACTATTGAAAAATATATTTTTTTGAAAATAATGTGATTCAAACAAGCTCTTAGTATCATATTTTATTTAACCTATCGTATAATATTACAATAACGCCACATAAACTTGAATTATAATTCCAATGGGATAAATAGCATTGTTCGATTAAATTTACTGCTATTATTAATTACTCGTGACTTCTCTTTTAATTTAAAATGATGTTTCAAAATTAGGCCTCCCTCTCACCTTTATATATATCACACGGTATACAGAGGACGTGATATTATCGGCATCATTTGTCACATTCGTACCAATTTGAATACATCCATTAATGTCTGCCAAGGGTACCTCGGCCACCGCAGCAGCGGAGGAGAAGAACGGAGAGCCACCAACCGAAGACAGATGTCCGGTGGAGGAGGTGGCGCTGGTGGTGCCGGAAACTGACGACCCAGCACTCCCAGTAATGACATTCCGGGCATGGTTTCTTGGCCTGGCCTCGTGTGTAATCTTGATCTTCCTGAACACTTTCTTCATATACAGAACACAGCCTTTGACCATCTCCGCCATTTTGATGCAAATAGCGGTGCTTCCCGTGGGCAAGTTCATGGCGACGACACTGCCCACAAAGCAGTACACAGTGTTTGGACGGTGGAGTTACACACAGAAATTTCTCATTTTATTTTTTATTTTTTTGGTTCTGCAGATATTGGGATATGGATGGGCAGGGATGTTGAGAAAATACTTGGTTGATCCAGTACAGATGTGGTGGCCTTCTAATCTTGCTCAAGTTGCTTTATTTAGGTTTGTGTTTCTTACGTTTACTGTTGTTTTTATCTCCATCAGTTTCCATTGTTTTTCAATGGTTCTGTTATGGGGTAGAATCATTGGAATTAATCATCACTGAACATTATTAGGATCAATAATTAAAAAGATCAGAATCATTAAAAACTAATTGTATGTTTGGGATGAAGAATTGTCACCTTTGTTTGAATTTTAACAGCACAATTCATAAGATCCACAATTTTCTATCAATATTTTTAATCAGCTTTTATCAAAATCTATCAAAACTTTTATCACACAAGCCCTAGATATCACAAGACAATATCCAAACATAAAAAAAGGCTTAAGATTTTTGTTTACTTTATCTTTTAATTACTACGTACTAAATATTCAAAATTTATACGAAGTAATCCTTTTCATTCTATGTTCCTCTTATTGGTCGTACGCGTCCATTGCATCGTTAATCGGTGGGCTTGATGCATATATAAATGTCACGAAAACTTAGAAGTTCTTTTTTTTTTTTTTTTTTTTTTTTTTGGTCTGAAAATGGTGTGTCTTGTCTGCATTGGATGTCTTAAAAGCTTAAAATCTTTGCATCTGGGAAGAACTGAATAAAAGAACATTGTAAAAGTTCAAAAAGGTGTATAGCTTTATGTGGGGAGTGGTGAATAAAGTGAAACTGTTTTATGCATTGAATGTGAACCAGTTCATAAGAATATATTTACAACATACGTTTGTCTTGATTATGTAACTATTCTTCTGGAGACCATTAATTTTGATGGATAGAGTTCATAAAGAGAAAGTAAATGAGTGGAAGACAAAATTTCTACAATAGTTGATAGATTTTGTTTGACATTCTCTTGCCATAAGATTCTTTAAAGAGACGTGCATAAAGTTAAGATTACTGATCCAATAACCCACTTTGGATGGTGACCTGCAACGAATCTCAGTGATAACAAACTAAGTGTTCTTCCCATCGAATTTGGAGTTGGCTACATGACCCCCTTTTCGCCATTCTGTTCGGTTCATAGCCTGTCCTTTGGGTCAGGTACAACTTTGTCAAAGGGGCTAATGTTAGGATGAACTTTGTAGTGTCTTATGTTTTTGTAGGTTCATTTTTCTAGTTACGGGAATTTTTGTAATGTTTTTGTTATTGCAGGGCGCTTCATGAAAAGGAACACAAAGCAAAAGGTCTTACAAGGATGCAGTTTTTCCTTGTTTTTATGGCTGCAAGCTTTGCCTATTACTTATTTCCGGGATATCTGTTTTCGATATTGACATTCTTCTCTTGGGTATGTTGGGCGTGGCCTCATAGTATAACTGCTCAGCAAATCGGTTCGGGTTACCATGGACTTGGAGTGGGTGCCTTCACCCTCGATTGGGCAGGGATTGGGGCTTACCATGGTAGTCCATTGGTTACACCCTTTTCGTCGATTCTGAATCTTGGGGTTGGCTTTATCATGTTTATATACATAATTGTCCCACTATGTTACTGGAAGTTCGATACTTTTGATGCCCGGAAATTCCCCATATTTTCTAATCAGCTATTCACTTCCAGTGGACACAAATATGATACTACTAAAATCTTGACCCCACAATATGATCTTAATATTCCGGCTTATGACAAATATAGCAAGCTCTACCTTAGCCCCCTGTTTGCCCTCTCGATTGGGTCAGGATTTGCAAGATTTACAGCTACCCTCACACACGTGGCATTGTTCCATGGCAGGTTGGCTCCTTACATGTTTATCTTTGCTATACGCGACGTTTTTTTGATTACTCCCTCTATTGGGAAAATGACAATTTGTATTCTATTTTGGCTAGTGATATTTGGAAGCAAAGTAGATCTGCTATGAAGAATGCCAGCCTCGACATTCATTCAAAACTAATGAAACGTTACAAGGAAGTTCCTCAGTGTTGGTTCCTTGTTTTATTAGTAGGTAGCATTGCGTTTTCCCTCATGATGTGTTTTGTATGGAAAGAAGACGTGCAGCTACCCTGGTGGGGTTTGCTCTTTGCATTTGGTTTGGCTTGGATTGTTACTCTCCCGATCGGAGTCATTCAAGCAACTACCAACCAGGTAACGGCCCAAATCCGTTTCTAGTCGTTCTAGCCTCTTTGATCAATGAATACTGCAAGATTTTAGCAGGGTTTTGAGAAATATCTAATTCAGTGATTTTATTATGACTACTTTACAGCAACCTGGATATGACATAATTGCTCAGTTCATTATCGGGTACATCCTTCCCGGAAAACCCATTGCAAACCTTCTTTTCAAGATATATGGACGCATAAGTACCATTCACGCTCTTTCTTTCTTAGCCGACCTTAAACTCGGGCATTACATGAAAATTCCACCACGATGCATGTTTGTAGCTCAGGTTTGTACCACAAACCTTACCCCAAATCACAATTATCATCAGTATCCATGGTATTAAGCACTTTCTTCTTAATCTTTTTTTTTTCCAATTTCCAGCTGGTGGGAACGCTAGTTTCAGGTACAGTCAACCTCGCAGTAGCATGGTGGATGTTAGGAAACATTGAGAACATCTGTGATGTCGAGGCATTACATCCTGAGAGCCCATGGACATGTCCCAAATTCCGAGTCACTTTTGATGCTTCTGTTATTTGGGGTCTAATCGGACCTGAGCGATTGTTCGGATCTGGGGGAATGTACAGGAACCTGGTCTGGCTCTTCCTCATCGGAGCATTCTTGCCAGTACCCGTTTGGATACTCAGCAAAATCTTCCCAGACAAGAAATGGATTCCCTTAATCAACATACCAGTTATATCTTATGGCTTCGCGGGAATGCCGCCGGCTACTCCCACCAATATTGCTAGTTGGATCATTACAGGAACGATCTTCAATTATTTTGTGTTCAAATACAAGAAAACATGGTGGCAAAAGTACAACTACGTTCTTTCTGCTGCATTAGATGCTGGAACAGCATTCATGGGAGTTCTACTGTTTTTTGCTCTGCAAAATGAGGGCAAAAATTTGAAGTGGTGGGGATCCGAGCCAGATCATTGTCCTTTGGCATCTTGCCCAACAGCTCCAGGGATAGTGGTCGAAGGGTGCCCTGTATTCAAGTAGCCACACAGCAAATAAAACTAGGATTCCTCTTTGAACATTATGTTCAAAGACTAAATATGTAAAAAGAAATTGGTAAAGCTGGTTATACAAAACTCAGCTACAATTTTGAATAACAGCTTGAATTTTAAATTCTAAGTGAATGTACAAGAAAATATCACTTTTCTAATAGGAATATTCAACTATTTTCCTGTTAATTAGATACTTCTCCATCCTAACAGGACAAAGTGCCAAACATCCTTGCAGCACAGCCCTGAAGATTACTCCGTCTAGAGGTGCAAAACAGCCATAGCCATTCTGATTCTTGCACACTCTATGAAAGGATTTGAATTTGAACCAACATCGAGTTACGTTACGCAATTACAATCATCTTCAACAATTCTTCTACGTCATATTGTATAGTATCATATCTGGTTCTTGGTAATGTCGAGTCGTAAAATAGGTCTAATTGTGGTTGTTTTAGAAGTGAACAATTAATTTGGCGATTGGTGGAGCCCCTGATCTGGAATGAACCTCCATCCGCACAAGGACGAGCACTGATTACGGCTTTCAGACCACCACGATTACTTAGACCTCTAAGGACACAATAATGGAAAATGTAAATGTGGACAAACTATCCAGGTGGGAAAAAAATTGATTCCAATTGGTTCTCTTTCTGCAGTGCCATTTCCTCTTAATGAGCATCCCAGAAACCACAAAACAGAGATCCACAAACAATTTAGGAACAGTGAAGATATCAAAGCCGAAAGGTAAAAGAAATAAAAAAAGACAGAACCGTCATTTACTATAAAAGCATATCAAAGATAAACAATGATAAAGTCACAAAACTGGGGGATAAGTGCCCAAGTATTTTGCATTCCATATAGATTTCAAAGTTTCTTGTATGGCTTTTTCCAAAGTTTACCCAAGAATTAGGCCCGGCATTTACTATAAAAGCATATCAATTACATTTAGGGAGTAAAGACTGTAGTTTTTGCAGATTTCCAATTTCAACTCTTTATGGACTTGTAAAGCACAACCGTCACGTATTTGGAATGGAACCGATGAGTTGAACCAAGTGCCACAACTGGACTGCCCCTACCCTTTTGCATGTAGAGATGGTTTAGCACTACATATTGAGGTCTTAGAAAGGGAGGTGGAATCTCCATTTGAGGTGCCGGAGCATTAAGCAAAGTCAACTGTAGATGTGGAGGAACCACTGGCGGTTCCTTAGCATAGTCCTCTGGACCAAGTTGCAGATTATTGTAGCTGGCATCTGGGGACTGAGGTGGTTCAAATCCGGAAATGTTATCAATATCTTCTGGGACATATTCCTGCAGCATGCATTGGTACGCATATGTAGTTTCAAGTAAGAACCTCTATTGCACAGATGATATGCAAATACACATATGCAATACAACAAAAAGGGAACAAAAACTTGTATCCAGATGTAATTATGAATGTGCACCGTCCTGCAAATACCAATGAATCAATCAAGAAAAGTTTACTTGGTCAGGCCATTGGTGCAAGGTTGGGAAATTAGATATCTTGTTTATCTTATCGACATAGTGACATCTTTATGTTCGATATAACCATTTTATTATTCTTTTATTCTTAACAGTATATTTCTATTTATTCTCTTGATGCACCAGACTCTACCCTGGCAGTCTGTTGAACCTCTAGTTGCAAATCTATTAACACTCACCTTAAACTCCCTCACAGAACTCCTCTTTCTTAACCATAGTGATCCTACAGACAGACAAAATTTGAGGGAGGTTTCTGTTAGCAGCAGCATGGGAATAGAATATTATTTACCCAAAGCAGAATATATTAAATCCTTGACATCAAAATTTAAGCTTTCTATATTTTAGCTTCCAAATTCAGCAATCAACAGGGGCAAACTGTTATGATTTTTACACAACCATGTAATAATGTAACTTAAAGAAAACAGAACTTGAAAATTACTCGGGAAGTAAAATAAACTACAAGAGTAAATTGAATGGCATGATTCTTCAAGATCTTTCTTATTTTCTACAGAATGGCCATACAGATGAGATTCCTCAAACAACTCCAATCTACTTCTGATGCAGGATAAAGAAGAGGATAGCAAGAAAGGGGGGAGAAACCGGAGAGAATGGGGGGAAAAAACCGGAGAAAAGTAGAAATTCAGAGGGAAAGGGGAAGAAAGAGAAAGGAGACGCCACAACCAATTTCAATTAATCAAAACAAATGAAATTACATGAAAAATTAGGTTTGAATAGTAAAGACAACCTTACCTAGAACGGCTTAGGCCAATACACGCCCAATTACACAAATAGAATCTAAAACATAAATAAAGTCCAACTAGAAATAAATAAAAAGACAGGATGCCCTCATCGACTTCCTTCCCTCCTAATGTTCCACACGGAAGGTCTTTTTATTCTTCGTTGGAAGAAGACCAAAGTACACAGAAATATTCCTTACGCAATAAAGCACTGCTAATTAAGTTTTTACCAACAGATCTTATGCACAGGATCATCTTCCCAATCAGGATGGGCTCCTGATGCACATTTCCCGAGTTATATCCACAAAGATAAATGCTGACAGAGTAATATCATTATCATTAATGCTTTGCATATATTCATTGGATAAATATGCAGCAGCCCAATGTTATACTGGGACAGAGTTATGTTTAAATTAGACAACATAACAAGGTTGCTTAAAGATAACATAAACATATGATTCAACACTGAATCTCAGTGGTTTCATCTTCAAGTCAGCCGCTTAAGCATCTTCTGACCAGACTTGCAATTAAATTAGAACTAACAGAAACTAGGATCAAAATTTAGAATTAGATCGATGTCAATTTGTCCGAAATAAAGTCCATAGGGTCCTCTTTATTATCTTTGTACATATTTTGAAAAGGGAAATAAATAAATGAAAAAAAAAAAGGGGAGAGAGAGAGGGAGAGAGAGAAATCAAATGCAATCATAAAATGGTAAGCAACATTGACGAGGAGGAAACTAAGAAGAGAGAACAAAAATTACCTGCAAGTCTAAAATGTTGTAAGCATTGCCTGATTCATCCTGGGCCCATGGGAAGTCAGGAGAATACCTCCATTGTCCGTCAACAATGAACCTGTATTTATAAACTCCTGAAGGAAGTACTTTCATAATGGTAAAGTCTTTTCCTGATCTTTGCAAGGATTTTCTGATAAAAGAATATCATCGTTCAAAACTGCTTATGATTCTTGGAGCTTGAGTTAGAATGGGAAAATATATGGAGAAAACAATGCAATTCACCTTGTTTCCCAATCATCCCATGATCCTTCCACGGCAACTTCCTTTCCGTCAAGGCTCCACGTAATCATTGTTGGAATACCTTTCTCGTTACAAACATCTTCATACCGCGAAGTAGTTTGCATCCATGAAGGACTGGAATTGTTCAACTCCTCAGGTCTTTGTAAAGGAACCAATGGCATCTGAAAGAAACATGAGTTAACTACTAAATTCTAAGAGCATGTTTTGCTTTGCAGTAATAGATTATGTTCGACATTGCAATAGACAAGAGTTCAACTTCTTTTTCTTATTTAATGTGTCCAATATTGTGTAATGTACCCTAGCAAACATGCCATAAGTAGACCAATAATCAAACATTTTTGGTGGTTACAACGTAAATGCCAACTAGTTGACCTACATCAAATGAAAACCACTAATGAAACTGCATTTTTTCTGCTGACGAGAGCCAATCTAGGTTCTAAAAAACAACTTTATAACTTGCAACGGCTGTCACAAATTTTATGCAACCTATTAGTTCGGCATATTCATGCTCAAAAAGTTGAACCCATTAGTTCAATTCAAGGAGGATAATCAAATAATTACCCCATAAAACCTTTTCCTTATGTTGATTACCCTTCACTGCTAATTAATCCCTGAAAGATTAAGATAAAATCTTTCTGGGAATTTTCGCTATGTAAGGGATATGATAAAATTAAAACCAAGTTCAACAATGAAAAGTAAAAATTAAATACTAAAATTAACTGTTCATCATATTCTCAGAACAATTAACCGGAGCACAATTATTTCCCTTCATTAATCTTATAATTATAGAAAAGTTATTATTATTATTATTTTATTTTTCAGATCCAGCCACAATAATCGGAATTTATATTCACCCAAGCCAAATCTTACAACCCCACATGATAAAGCAGTTAAAAATTAAACTACAAAATTTCACTCAATTGAAAGAAAAATAAATAAATATTTACACCTATAAAAGTTAAATTTAAAAGGAATCTTAATTAATATGAACACTAACAATGAGATGAAATAATGAAAACCCACAACAAATAAATAAAATATATCTGACCTGAGGTCTGAACATCAAAGGAGACTGAGAAGTCCTAGGACTAGGAGGAGGGGAACGACCCATGAATTCACCACCAGCAGGATCTTGATCAGCCATGCCATCCTGCACGGCGCCACCACCGCCACCTGCACCGCCACCCTCAACCCCAGATTGGCTGTTGTCGCTTCCTTCTTCTCTTCCACTCACGTTCCCCATTATTATTACTGCTTCTATACTAAAATATTATTTCTCACCAACCCAATACAAGAATGGGATCCTCCAAGAAAAGGATCAGTGTATATTAATTATGATCATTCCTGCAAGAAGGAATATCAAATGGGTTCAAGGAGGTACCAAATTTGAAAGTCAGATTAAATACTTTCAGTTTAATAATTATAAAGGAGGAGTAAACAAATCTGAAAAAAAAAAAAAAAAAATACGGCTGTGAAAAAATGATGCTAGGCTATGTAAAATATTATGAAATCCTATTATCCTACGAGTTTGGAAGTTTCTTGAAATGATGCGTTTTGTGCTGGAGTTGTGCTACTTACACATGCGACTTTGCACAGATCTGTACACGGGCACGTGGAGTCCACCCCATGTGTGTGCATCTATAAAACTCGTGTGTAAAAGTCTGTGCAGGATGGTTTTTCCTTTGTGTTGAGCATGGGCTTTCC